GGAGAAATGAATTTTCCAATCGGGGGAGTCCCTCCGAGCTCACACCACGTCGGAAAGCCGTTCGGGGTTTCTCCGCGCTTTTGAAAATTCATTCCTCCTCTCCTAATAGACATTATGAAATGAAACCACTGTCATTTATTGAGAATATTATTCTCGATCGATAGATGTTGCTTTCATTCCCTCTCCGCAATTATGGGGGGGGGGGGAGAAATGAATTTTCTAATCGGGAAAGCCCCTCCGGGCTCACACCACGTCGGAAAGCCGTTCGGGGTTTCTCCGCGCTTTTGAAAATTCATTCCTCCTCTCCTAATAGACATTATGAAATGAAACCACTGTCATTTATTGAGAATTTAATTCTCGTTCGATCGGCATCGGCTTCAATCCTTCATCTCATTTAGGATGGGAGAAATGAATTTTCCAATCGGGGGAGCCCCTCCCGTTAGTCCGCACAAAATTCATTCCTCCGCTCCTACTTGGGTAGGATAGAATAGAATTTCCCGAAGATTCCAAAAAGCTTCATTGTTCTTCGTGCATGAAAAATGGGGATCTTCGGGAAACTCCTTGCGATCACAAGACTTTTACCGATTTATTTTTCTCCGTGTGACGTCCGTATAGAAGATCAAAAAATCAATTTAACTTTGGGATAAATGGAGAGGAGAGAAAAACGTGAATATCTCGGAAATTAGATGCGACAAAGTGGGCCCTTTTCACGTGGACGTACACATATAATTGGACTGAAATTTATAGAAATTTTTAATTTGCAATGACGAAATTCCTTGAAATTTCCGTATTACGGCAACGCTATAAAAATTCCCAATAAGTTCCCGGAATTTCCGCGAAAATATTACTGAAACTTACAGACATCATTCCTGATTTCAAGACATTCCTTTGATTTTCAGGATCATGTCACTAGAAATTTTTTACAAAATGACTTAATTTTAACATTGCTTGCTCATTGCATTTCAGAAATGCAGCTGCCTAAAAAAGACACATCGATTCCTAGGAACAACGTTTTTTTTTCTCGGTAAATACAGACAATAGAGAAATGTCAGAGTACAGTGAATAAACTTCACTCGTCAAAAACTCCATAATGGCAGAGTTAAATTCCCTGATTTTTTTTCACTCTCGATTAATTTTTTAAAGATTCAAATTGATACTTAAGTATCAATTGATTCATTCACATCGTTCCATTCCATCGGGAGATATTGTCGATTGGAGACAATTTTTTATGGTCACTGAAGAATGCAAACCATTCATTTAAATCTCGCAATAATCTGCGAAAAGTCTCATTCGTTAATCTATTATTATTGATTTAATCCCATTATGTGTATGAGATTTGTTGAGATATAATCTCTCACAAATATTGAATATATTTCTCATCAAAATAATTCGAAATTCATTCATTACCTTTGTATCACTGACAAAATATGTAATAAATGTGAATAAGATGAATTGCTCATATTTTTTTTTTTTATTAAAGATCTAGTTATATAGAAATTCAAATAAATGATCCTTTTTCGCTCATGACTTCATAATTCCTTCTCTCCCTCTCCTTTATGATCAACTAATTTACAAATTAAGACAATAAGAAGTTGTATGAACGAAAATGGGATAATCAAGCGGATGAGTGAATGCAAAGGAGGTTTCATGTTGGATTTAAGATTGGGAACACTTCCCTGTTATCGACTGTTTCCATGGTAATAGATGAAAATTTCTTTACCCACAGAGCCGGCCTCTCGATTAGTTCATGCGCGCCACCGCTATGACATTCTGATTGAACAGTTCCCATAAACCTGAGCAATCTCCCCTATTATCTCTGTGACTGACTCCAAAAAAGTTAGTTGGTACCCCATGGGAAAGGCGGTGTCCCGGTCGAATTGTCGTCAAATCTGAGTCGGGTGCGTAACTCGGCATATAGCAGTCCCGCTGTCACAGGGACAGGTTCAGAGGGGTACTTTTGTGCTCCTTGTACTCAATGTTTACTTTATGTTTTTCAGTTGATTTATTCGCCGACTAATTAATATTAAGCGATGAAACAAAGACTGTTCAATGAAGAATTAAATTCCCCATCCATCAACCCCCGTTTCATCCCTTAACCTCCGCAATAAAAAAATTAATATTGCGACGAAAGTCAGGGCGCTATAAGAAACCCAATGTTTCCTCGGCGCAGAGTGACTCCCCATTAATTCGCCCGCTAATTGGAAAATCGTCTCTTTTCTCCTAATTAAGGAATGAAACCTATGCTGTTCGATGGAGAATTAAATTCCCCATCGTTCAATCCCCGTTTCATTCCTTAATCTCTGTAATAAAAAAATAAAAACTGCGACGAAAATCGCGGCGCCATGAAAAACTCAATGGTTTCTCGGCGCAGTGACTCTCAACAACTCGCCCGCTAATCAAAAAATCGTCTCTCCTTTCCTAATTAACTTTAAGGAATGAAACCAATGCTGTTCGATGGAGAATTAAATTCCCCATCCTTCAACCCCCGTTTCATTCCTTAATCTCTGTAATAAAAAAATAAAAACTGCGACGAAAGTCGCGGCGCTATGAAAAACTCAATGGTTTCTCGGCGCAGTGACTCCCGACAACTCGCCCGCTAATTAAAAAATCGTATCTCTGCTCCTAATTAACATTAAGGAATGAAACCAATGCTGTTCGATGGAGAATTAAATTCCCCATCCATCAACCCCAGTTTCATTCCATAATCTCTGTAGTAAAAAAATAAAAACTGCGACGAAAGTCGCGGCGCTATGAAAAAC